TCTCTCTCTCTCTCTCTCTCTCTCTCTCTCTCTCTCTCTCTCTCTCTCTGTCTGCACACTGACTTCCCAAGACCTGTACATGCTCCCTCTAATAAACCCCTAAATGGTTTTTTTTGCGTGTTCTATGTTTCCTTCTCACTTGTGCCAAGTAATTCCAATCATATCTTGACAAGTACCCAAGCTAACTTTGCCTAGTAGATGTGAGTGTATGCAGAGATCTCATGTCTAATGACTTAAAATACTCATTTTCAACTAAATTGAAAACCTTAAAAGAAATGAATGCATTTCCAGATATTTACAACATAACAAAATCAAACCAAAAAGAAATAAACAATTTAAATTTAATCTATAAGCAGCTCTGAGATGGAAGAAGTAATAAATTTCTTCCCTTGACCCTCTCTAAAAAAATCCAGTAGCAGACTGAGCACCACAAAATTCTCCCCAGATCTTCAAAGAATAACCAGAACTGAATCTACTTGATGTAGAAAAGGAACGGAGGTGCCTGGACTATGAATGAAGCTAGTATTACCTGACACCAAAACTAGTTAAAGAACAACTAAAAACAAAATTAGAGTTTGACTCTAATTTCTAATAATTGTGAAGGCACACATATTTGATTACAGAACTTTTTTGTTGCTTTTTTCGAGACAGGGTTTCTCTGTAGCTTTCGGGCTTGTCTTGGAGCAAGCTCTTGTAGAACAGGCTGGCCTCCAACTCACAGAGATCTGCCTGCCTGTTCCTGCCTCTGCCTCCCGAGTGCTGGGATTAAAGGCATGTGCCACTACCACCCAGCTGATTACAGCACTTGTGATGGATAGACAGGCAGATTTCTCTGATTTCAAGGAAGGAGGAGAGAGGGAAGGAAGAAAGAGAAAGAAATTACAGTCATTTGGTCATTTAAAAAAATTCTATTTCAGTTTCACTTACATAAGTATGCCACCATTTTACCTTCCTACAACCCAGAATCATACTCCCAACAAATCTAGTGCTGCTGTTCTATCCATTCATTTTCTATGGAGGACCACTGATACCAGCAAGGGCCATGTGTGAAACTGGGTTTGAAGATTTTTGTTGGAGCATGGGGTGCTCAAGAGAACATACACAACTAAAGAATTATTTTCATAAAGCCTTCTTTTTGGTTTTTCAAGACACGGTTTCCCTGCATAACCATCCTAGTTGGACTGGAATGTTGGACTCTAGTGTCCAAACACCAAGAAGGAGTCACCCCCAGAGACCACCTCACACACCACAGCCAATGCAAAAACATGAGGATTTTATTAATTCTGTTATGACAGGGTCCCTCAGCATTCGGGAAGCCGAGAGACCTCAAAAAGCTGGTACAGTCTACTTTTAAAGGAGAAGGGATTCTTTGACCATTATGATTGGCTTATTCGAAAAGGGCTAATACCAATAATTGGCTGGAGAGCTATTGTCAGATCAGATGAGGTAAGAGGTCATTTTGACCCCGTTTCCCAGGGGACTGAGTCTAAACATACGTATATGGGTAATTGTTCAGGAACTGAGTACGTGCGTGTGTAGCTGTTAGGTCCTTGGTTCCCAGGGGAGGAGGGGAAGCACTGAGGCATGGAGGCTGAGAGGGTTTGGAATTGTTAGAAATGGCTTCAGAATTGTCTTAAAGTCTTACAGGAACTAGCTCTTGTAGACCAGGCTGGCCTCGAACTCACAGGGATTCGCCCGCCTCTGCCTCCTGAGTGCTGGGATTAAAGGCCTGCGCTACTGCCACCCAGCCCACAAAGACTATTTATGTAGCCAACATCTGAGAGATAAGACTTCCTAGACTGATTATGACTGGACTGATTTTGTGTGAAGCCAGTGTAGCTGAGTACAATTTCTTTGGGCTGCTTATTGCAACAGCTGTATGGAGTTTAGAGAATGATATGTCTTAGCCTTTCCTACTCTCTCCCTTATTCCCTTTCTTTCTCCTCCTCCATTTTCCCAGAGCCATAAATGAGAAGGTATAACTGACTTGTTTAGGACTGAGCTCATACACCTTACTTATTTTCTGCATCTGGGATAGCCACAAGTCTGCATTCACTACTGCATTTTCAAAAGGAATGTTATCTTTTTTATCCAAAAGCATCAGTAACATGATTCCCAGGAGACAAATTCATTTGTCAGTTAACAAAATAAGATCATTAAGTAGTGGTAAAATCTACAGCAGAGGATGAAGTCAAGCGTTGTCTGCCAGTAGTGTTTAGACCAGCAGCTTACATTGTCACCTATTTCCTTTGGAAATCCAGAGTTCCTGAAATGTCTTTCCCACTCAAAGTTGATGATGTTGCTAATCATGGGATTCCAGCTTTTTGACTGTTAAGGGTGGAGAACTTTGAGAGCAGGATAAAGGTGGCTCTTAGTGTCACTGCATTTGCATCATGAAGGAAATGATTATCAAACTTCCCAGGAATGCTCTCCAAGGGAAAAGTTACTGCATCAAGTTTTATAATGTTTTATATCAGTGTAGAAGATGCAGCTGGAATTTCACTTTCACATTTTACCGGTGCTACTTGCATGGAGCATCTGATTTTTTTTTCTAATTTATCATCTTACTAGACTAAGTGATACAGATCCTCTTATCTTGTCTACAAGCCCCGATCTTCTGTCTCCTTCTTGATCTAGTCTGGTGTGGAAGCTTTTCATTGATTATGCTCATTGCGGTTTTTCACTTCTTGTTTCACTACCTCTTGTAGAGCAGGCTGGCCTTGAACTCAGAGAGATCTTCCTGCCTCTGCCTCCCAAGTGTTGGGATTAAAGGCGTGCATAGGCTGAATTACCCTCATTTTTCGAGGACAAGTCATTTGCTTGTGTTTTCTTGTCCTCCAATCACTTCATTCCTGTCCTCGTTCACTTCAGGAGTTCGCTTCCTCTTTATGTACTTTGACCTTATTGAGAATACTTCTGTGGTGTGTGTGTGTGTGTGTGTGTGTGTGTGTGTGTGTGTTTTCTATTTCTCATATTTTATGTGCTTTGGTCTCCTTAGAGGACACAGCCATGGAAATTTGGGGGAACAATATTTCATCATAGTTTGTGTTTGGGTTATGGAATCTAGCATTATGTTTTGGGGTGATTTTTTTTTTCTGTATGCGTTTATAGGCCAGGAACTGAAATCCCATAACGAGGCGTTGGACTGAACAATTTCAACACAGAGTGGTCAAAACTTCGGATAAGAGAGTCAGATATGGAGAGCCGACTCCTACTAGACCTAGATCTGCTCTAGGCTGGCAGCAAGCATGTGGGGAGGCTGTGCTGAGCGGGTCCAGGGCAGCCTGACAGCTGGAGCTGTGTGGAAGGCGGCCTGAGACAGAGTGGGAGGGACCGTTTGAGAGGGGCGGGGGGAGACAGACACTGGAAGGGAAGCAGTTTATGAGAGAATGTAACTCATTGGCTGGATGTAGGGGAAGTGGCGCATGGGCAGGTTTAGAGGAGTGACGAAAGCGGAAGCTGGGAAACCTCGTGGGTTAGTACCAGGAAGTGGACTGCTGAGCTAAAGTCAGTGGCACAGAGGACCCATTCGCTGTCGTTGCTCCGGGACGTCCACCGTGAGGAGTCGCGTGTGTAGACCTGGGTGTCGCGGGGACGCGAAAACTCCGCGGAGCCACAGTCGCCGCGGGTCGGCCTGGGAAAGTCAGCAGTCAGCCCCGCAGTGGCGGGAATCGCAGCCCGGCGGCCCTGGAACCTCCCAGGTCAGAGGCGCTGCGGGGATAGGACGGGGGAGGGGGGGGCGGACAACAGTTTCTTTGCACTTAAGGAAACTGACTCTAAAGTTGTCCTGTGAATTTCTTCCCTTGTCGGTAAATTTTAGGTAAAATCAATTGGACAATCCTTCTGGTTGCCAAACTATTTGGGGGTGGGGGGGGTGGGGGGAAAGAGGTTCGAGACAGGTTTCTCTGTAGCCTGGCCTGGAACTAGCTCTTATAGACCAGGCTGGCCTCGAATTCTCAGAGATCTGCTTGCCTCTGCCTCCTGAGTGCTGGGATTAAAGGTGTTCTCCACCACCGCCCGGATAGAGTATTCTTATAAGAATAGTTTGGCGCCAGGCAGTGGTGGCGCATGCCTTTAATCCCAGCACTGAGGAGGTAGAGGCAAGCGGATCTCTGTGAGTTTGAGACCAGCCTGGGCTACAAGAGCTTGTTCCAGGACAGTCTCCAAAGCTACACAGAAACTCTGCCTTGAAAAACAAACAAACAAACAAACGAAAAAACCTCTAGTAGAATGGTTGATTTTGCAAACTCGATTCGCTTTGTTATGGTGGAAAGCACAAAACTCTTGAAACTCACATTCATCCATGCTAATTTCCCTGTTAAACCATTTACATATTCAGGAGCGTAGTTCCTGGACCTGAGGAGCCCACATCCCTGAAGAACTTTAAGATAATAGTCCTCAAAGAAATGCTTGCAGATTTGATAGACTCTGAAAATATTTTTTTTTCAAGCTCCACGGGTATGGTTGTAAACACCAACATTTAAAAGCAAACTTTTTTAGCATTAATTTTTTATCTGATGTTATGTGCTCTGATGTAACCACAGCATTCTGAAGTGTCTTTGCCAGACACGGTGGCACAGGCCTTGAATACCAGCATTCAAGAGACAGAGACAGGCCAATCTCAGTAAGTTTGAGACCAGCTGGTGTACATAGTGAGTTCCAGGACATGCATAGCTACATGGTGAGACCCTCTCAAAAGAAGGAGATAGAAAAAGAAAGAAAGAAAGAAAGAAAATGAAATGTATCTTTTTACGCTGAGTTGGTAGTGTTGCATCTTGGAGTCTGGAAACAAACAGTATGCTGTTTGAGGGTGTCAGTATTCTCACAGTTAGCAAAGGCATTTTAAACTGGGTGGTGGTGGCACAGGCCTTTAATCCCATCACTTAGAGAGGCAGGTGAGGTCAATGCCAGTCTGGTCTGCAGAGCAAGTTTCAGGACAACCAGGGCTACAAAGAGAAACCCTGTCTTGAAAAAAATCAAAAAAGAAAAAAAAGGGAGGAAGAAAAGGATGGTATTGAATAATTGTAATCACTCATCTACATCAGAATAACGTCTAGAATAGTCTTCTGTCTCCTTGGTTCTAGAAAAAGCACTCTGCCCATGGACATGTGACCAACCAAACTTGGTTTTTCTTTTTTGTTTGTTTGTTTGTTTTGATTCTTGTGTTTGCTTCTTTGAGAACTGAACTCACAGTGTCTGGCCAAAAATTCACCCTGTAGGGCTGGAGAGATGGCTCAGAGGTTGAGACCTGACTGCTGTTCCAGAGGTCCTGAGTTCAATTCCCAGCAACCACATGATGGCTCACACCCATCTATAATGAGATCTGGTGCCCAGAACACTATATACATAATAAATAAATCAAAAAAAATTCGCCCTGTAGGACAGGTTGGACTGGAACTAAGTGAATTCCACCCACCTCTGCCTGCTGAGAGCTAGGATTAAAGGTGTGCCCCTACACAACCATTCAAACCCTTGTTTTTTACTTTGTGGTCTTTTGACAGCCATTGTTGAAACTGGACTTCTCCCAGCCGGAGGAGCAATGCCTGAAGCCTGCTGAGAGGGCTTTGTGCTGGGACTGGATGCCACAGAATACAGGGATCTGGTTTCTCTGGTAGAGAATAGTTAGCTTTCAGTCTCCCTTGGTCCTTGGGGTTTCTGAACAAACCAATCTGCAAGCGTGTGAGCTTTGTGTGAATGAGTCTCACATCCCACAGAATAAAGAGAAATCCTCAGAGGGGAAAAAACATTTCAAGGAATGTTCCTTCTTCTTTGTGTGTTTCCCTTTGGGAGGTGTGAAGCTTCCATCACCCTGGGTCTGTGATGAATTCAGAACGTCACAGAACCTCATCCCAATCATTCAGTTTTATTTCTACCATTGAGTTCTGACTAAGCTGTGACTGGAAGGGGCATTCAAGTTACGCAAAACTGAAAATACTTTCTAAATGTTTCTAGTATTCTGACATTGCAGGACACTTGGACCCATTTGTAGAATCCTCTCTTCATCCTTCATCTACTGAGCACAGTACTGTTTTAGGAATCCAGATTCTTTCTGAACAATCTCTTTCTCAATTACAGGGCATGCTGATCACCCAGACCTGCTCACCTCTGCAGCAGAACAAGGGGAAGTAGCTGAGGAAGGAGACAGTAGCTGAGGATCCAGGTATGGTGGAGGCATTGGTGAAAGAGTGGTAAGGGGTTCACATGGAAGTGGGACATGAGATCAGTTTTGTCACATTCTCTTTCACTAGAAAGAATTTGGGAGACTTTCTCTGAGGAAAATCTCCTCACGATTATCTTATAGGTATGAGAAGAGGTTCTGAGGGAGAATTGACACTAGCAGGCAAATAAAATTGTATTTCACTATACATTGAGTGTTGCTGTCTTTCCCTTCATAGCATGTCATCATATTCATTGGTTTTCATGTATGATTTTAATAAATTTTAAAATGGTGAAAGAAAATGCTTTGTTGTGTTCAGAAAATTTGAGCCTTGGTAGTCTAGCCACGTTCTCTGCCTTTTAGTGTTTTTTCTCCATTCCTGAAAATAATGCCAACTGAGTTTTGATAAGAATGAAAGTAAGTGGTGGCACAGGCCTTTTAATCTCAGCACTCAGCAGGCAGAGGCAGGTGGATCTCAGTGAGTTCCAGGACAGCAAAGGCGTCCTGGAGAAACCTTGTACTGAAAAAATCAGCTAAAAAAAAAATGGAGCTATTTTGGCCAGGCTTGGTGGTGTACACCTTTAACCCCTGCACTCAGAGGCAGGCAGATCTCTGAGTTTCAGGCCACTCTGGTCTACAAAGCAAGTTCTATGTCAGCCAGAGCTACACAGAAAAACTCTGTCTCCATAAACTTAAAAAATTAAAAAAAGACCATGGAAGTATATATTTATAGAAGATTACACTCCTTCTACTGCATCTACCGTCTTCCCGCTGATATCTCCTAATGTCTGTAGTCATAATTCCGGGTGATGTCCACTGCTGTAAATGTCATATACCATAGAGATCACCTCTAAGTTTGTTCCTCGTAGTATTTCCTGGCTCTTTGCTGTTTCCTGGACTTTCAAGATTACTTTCTATAAACTATGCAATAGGATTGTGAAGTATATATTTGTTCTGACAAATGAAGCTTGCCTGGAGTTCAAAAGCTGCTAGTTAACCATAGGAGCCAGGCACACTTATTTAATCCCAGCACTTAGGAGGAAGCAGGAAGAACGGGAGTTCAGCCTTAAAGAGAAACTGAGCCAGGCGGGCCTTGGTGGTGCACGCCTTTAATCCCAGCACTAGGGAGGCGAAGAAAGAAATATAGGTGGGTGGAGACAGCATCTTGTCCCCCATTCTCTCTGAGTATTCGTTCATAGAGGTAAGAAGTTAGTGGCTGTTGTTCTGTTTCTCTGATCACTCATCCTAATATCTGACTTCCGTATTGTGATAAGAATTTCTTGGCATCTTGGTGTTTTAATAGAACAGATGGCAATGTGCCAGTTTTCACAGGTTTTTCTGTATCCTGTTTTCTGTTGTGCATATCTGCATCTAGGTTTTGTTATATGAACCATGTTGATCAAGGACTGTCTATAACTAAAGAGTCATATTATAGTTTGCTAATACTCTCTATTTTGTATTTTGATACTTTTGTCTTTATTTTTTGTCCCTATCTTAATTATGATCATCAGTAGTCTTTACAGCTATTTCCAAAAAAATTCTTAGTATATTGTATCATTAGATATGAAATAAAATTTTGTTATGAAATCTATGTTTTGAGCCAGGTAGTAGATAAAATTTTGGTAGGAAATCTATGCCTTGAACCGGGTGATGGGGCACGCCCTTAATTCCATCACTCAGGAGGCAGAGGTAGGCCTGGTCCACAGGATGAGCTCCAGGACAGGCTCCAAAGCTACACAGAGAAACCTGTCACGAAAAACCTAAAAAAGAAAATATATGTTTTAAATTCAGTTCTTATTTTTTTTTTAAATGATGTAGTCTGTTTGCACCATTTGCTTAGGGTATATTATCCATTTACATTTCAAGAAATTACTGAAAAAAATGCATTTGCTATTGTTCAGGAACTTGGCTGTAAAAACTGACAAGGGAGAATCGGCATCTCTGTATATTAAATTTACATTATCTTATGACCTACAATGTAGAGGTTTTAATATATTCATATTGGCTATTTCAGCTACTGTTGAGCATGGTGTATTAAATTCATTTATGTATTTATTGATTGTATTATCATTTGCTTTTTAAAATAGATTCTGACTTTTTATTCATTATCGTATAAATGGATAGCTAATAAATATATCTGCTGTGTAAGCTGTCTCTTCATGATTGTTTTTGGGGGGGGCGTCAAAACAGGTTTTTCTTCTTCTTTTTTGTTTTTTGAGACAGGGTTTCTCTATGTAACTCTGGAGCCTGTCCTGGAGCTAGCTCTTGTAGATCAGGCTGGCCTCAAACTCACAGAGATCCGCCTGCCTCTGCCTCCCAAGTGCTGGGATTAAAGGCGTGTGCCACCACCGCCAGGCAAGATGGGCTTTCCATGAAACATCCCTAACAGTCCTGAAACTCACACTTTAGACCATGCTTGCCTCGAACTCACAGTGATCTGCCTATCTCTGTTTCCTGAGTGCTGGGATTAAAGGCATGCACCACCACTACCCGGCTAGAAATTATTTCTTAAAGATTTCTTTATTATGTATGCACATAGCAGAAGAGGGCATCAAATGTTATTATACATGGTTGTGAGCCACCATGTGGTTGCTGGGTGTTGAACTCTAAACCTCTACAAGAGCAGCCAGTGCTCTTAGCCTCTTAGCCATCTCTGCAGCCCATCTCTTCATACTTTTAGTTATTACTTTTTCCCTCAGTGTTTTTTATTGTGTACAATATTATTTGTCAGTTCCTGCTGTTGTATCAGGTGCTGCCCCCTTTGTGTTAACTCTGCAGGATTCGGTGTTTCAGGTCATACATGAAAGTCTTTAATTCATTATGTGTGGAGAGATTTGAACCCAGTTCATGTTTTCATATGCGGATAGATACTTTTCCCAATACCTCTGTTTGAGGAGACTGTCTAGTCTGCAGCAGACCTCTGTAGTCTTTGGTGACATTGACAGGGTCATTGCTATTGGGCAGGGTCTGGATCTGCTGCTGTAGTTCATTGAGCTGTTTGTCTTCCTCTCCCATGATGCTATTGGTTGGCTCTGCAGTGTCATCTGGAATTACACTGGATTATCTCAGACATGTATCATTTTCTTCAGGCTTCTCTATACCTAGGGGATCTGTGTATCAATATGACTTCTAGGTTTCTCTTTATGATTTCTGAAGTATCTTGTAGGAAGGTTAAATGTCTTGATGTTTGAACTGATCATATAACCACTTCCAGAAATACTGTAAATTTCAAAATTATGTCCCTTTCCATCTGTATAAATCACCTTTCCATGTTCTATTAGCATCTTCAGTGAGTCAAAGATTTCATTGTACTTTTTTCTGCATGGTTAGTTCATTCAAGGAATTTTTATTTTGTTTCCTTTCTCTCTAACGTTTCTGATTACTATTTACTGCTCATTTTTAAATTTAGATTTATGTATTTTATGTATACTAGTGTTTTGCTTGAGTGCATGACTATTTCATGTGCATCTTAGAAATGTAGTTATTGACACTTGTGAGTCAGTATGTGGGTTCTGGGAATGGAAACTGGGTCTCTGCAAGACCAACATGCTGGCATAACCACTGAGCCATCTCTTTGGGAACCTATTATTAACATTACTTATGTGAGTAATAATACTAGAAAATATTATAAATTGTTTTTGTCTAAATGATCCAAAAATTTGGCTTTACACAGGTATTTATTATTTTTAATACCTTTTCCTTTCATTGTTGTTGTATGTTTATGTGTAAAAAAATATAACCTACTCAGTCTGTATGTTTTCAGGGATGAACATTTGGTATTGGATAACCGTATGGTGCACTCTTCTCTGGGGTAGACTATTTCTCCAGCTCTCAGAATTCCTTCATATTTGACTAGAGTTGAGGCCTAGTGAGCTTTCTCCCTTCCATGTTAGCATGTCTCTTAGTGTTGTCCTTGTTAAGCTCATATTACAGCAGCCATTTTGTAAGATTTGATGCTTGTAGCTTCTCTGACATTTCTAGGAGACACTGTCTCACAGTAAATGTCCTGATTCTCTGGCTCTTACAATGTTCCTGCCTCTTTCTCAGTGAACCCTGAGCCTGAGGTAAAGGAGTTATGTTGCTTTTGTGTCAGTGGGGACTGAGCATCACATGTCTGCATTTTGACTGATAAAGAACTTCCCTTGATGAGGAGTTGGGACTACATTAATCTGTGGGAGTAAGGAAAATATTTATGCCGTTGGGAACTATTTTGATTTAGTAAAGTAATGCTTGTAGGTTCTCCTTGAAGATTCCTGACTTCAGTAACCCTAGGGAAACTAGCTAGGTTTCCAGTGCCAGCCATGATTTCCCTCTTGCTGAGAGGGTCTTAAATCCACTTTGAAGCTGTGGTTACCATCAAGGTTTGTGTGCTGCTCTTGCTGCTTTAGGCTATCGTGTAGTGCAGATCATTGCTGTGGTTCAGAGATGTTGTAGCTGGATAGGACTGTCGGTTGGCTCCCACCTATGAAAGGATGCTTGTTGCCTTCTGTTACCATGAAAGCTAGTTCCCAGGGAGGAGGTTTAGGTCAGTTATCTCGAGTCCTCTGAGGTTTTTTTGTCCACAGTGTATGGCGTCTTCAACAGTAGGAACTCAGCTACCTCTGGGAGGCAAACTTGGACAACAGCAATAGCCTATAATGAGTTGAGTATCTTGGACATCAGTGACCAAGAACTACTGTGGAGTCCTGAAAATGTGAGCCTATTTTCACATTAACCAAAGGTCAGAGAGTTGCAACTTAGCTCTAGTTCCTTCAAGGTTATTGTGCTTCCACCTCAAACAAAGGGTCCCCCTTGATGTAGATCAGAGAAAGAGAAGGAGGAGCCTGGAGACCCGAAAATGTGAGCCTGTTGCCACATTTACCAAAGGTCAGAGAGTTCTGTTCTCTCAAGGCTATTGTCCTCAACAAGTGTGGCTAATATAGCCAGACCTCTTACTCCAGAAATAGCGAAGTAGATCTGTTTGTTCCTATCTCAATCAGAAGTCTAAGGATCCAACTTAGTTTCATTTCCCAATGGATCCCACCCAGGGAGTGGTTTGCCTACAGAATGCTTTGGTCTAGGGTATGAGCATGACTTGTTTGGTTCTAGCAACAGAATATTTAATTATGAATGTAGCCAACGACCTTCAATTGGTGTGTTCATTTCCTTTTATAGTGTTAATGCAGTCTTTTGTCCTATTCCTGCCTTTTGGAGTCAGGGATATTTTAAGCAATTGAAAATTAAATGCTGGCAAATTTCAGTAGTCACTGGAATTCCCTCCTGATACTATGCTATATGTTTCTCCATTTTGTTATTTTTATTTGCGTCTTCATATTCTTTACTATGTTTCTAAATCCCCATGCCTCTGCCTGGTAAGAGGTATTTTGTGTCAAGGCTGGTCCTAAACAAACTACAAAGCATGTGTCATGCCTGATTTTGGTGGTTTTGTATGAAAATCTCTGGCTCTTGTGAGGAACATCATCAGCCCAGATATGGTATTTGTTTTCATTCTAAAGGTTTCTGCATGTACAGACTTATGTATTAGCGGCATTTTTTGTTTCCATTTCCCCCTTTAGATCATTTGTTCCCTGTTATTCCCAACTATTAATCCCCACACATCTCATAGTGCTTTCTTTTTACTGCATCACTCCAGGTTGTATGTTTAAATCTGAAGATTTGGAGCTAGGAGCTTCCTATGAGAGAGAATATGAAATGTCCATCTTTCTCTGTCAGGGTTACCTTACTCGATATGCTCTTATCTGCATCCATCCAATTACTTGCAAAGCTCATGATTTCAATTTTCTTTACAGCTGAATCATATTTCATATTTTCACTCTCCCTGTCTATTGAAGGACATTCATTATTATTTTGTAGCTATTGTGAGTAGAGCAGCAATGAGCATGACTTGCAAGTATCTGTGAAGTAGGGTGTCAAGTCCTTTGAGCATATGCCAAGGAGTGGACGATCTGGGTCATGTGCTAAATTCATTTAACTTGAGAATTTGTTGATTTAATTGAGAATTTTCCATATTGATTTCCAGAGCAGCTAAATTATTTGTTCATAAGGATTTTATTCCCTATGCTTGCTTGCTTTCTTCTTCCTTTCTTTCTTTCTTTCTTTCTTTCTTTCTTTCTTTCTTTTTTTGATGCTGTTTCTGGTTGGTTGAATTATTCATAGTATTCTTTTTTCTTCTCTGTGAGAATTAATGCTTTGCTGCCTTGCCTATGGATGATTAGTTCCCAGTTCTCTGTCTGGTATTTATCTATTCTTCATTTGAAATTTATTTCCCATGTTCTCTTTTAATTCCTCTGAATCTTCTGTGTATGTTCTGCCTGTAATTTATTATCTGCAGTGTTGCATTTGTGAAATCAATTGTGATAATTCATAACTGTCTTAAAATGCACTCATGTCTTCATCAATTGTAAGATAGAATTTTTCTGTGTGCAACAGTGCTGTTGGTGGTGATTTTCTTTATAAGCTTTACCTCTCGTTTCACACTCTCCTCCTGAGTTTTGGATCATGATGAGACACCTGGTTGTATTCTGATTCTTGAATCTTTTTGTGTGGTTTGACATTGTTCTGTAATCACTTTCAGTATTAATTTTGTTTTTCTTTTTGACCCCTTAATGTGAAAGGGCAGTAAGCATCTATTCATTGTTCCTGAAAGAAAAACTCAAAGAAGAGAAACAGAAAGGAATGGCTGATTCTCCAATAAACATGCCCCAGGTTAGTAGTCATGTCCTCCTTTTTTATGGAAATGTTGTAGTATGAGATACCTTGAAACCTTTCATTTTCTGCTTCTGAGTGTTTGTTTTTTAGCTTTCCCATGAAAAATATTACAAACATAAAAACAAACACAAAAATCACATGTTAAAATTAAGCAGGCCCACTGTACAACTCAATGTACTTTTGTACAGTTAGAGTAGTCACTGCAAACAGAAGCTCTGGAGCCACACAAGGGATTTTATAGTTTTAATATCCAATATATTTGCACTTATCTACCATCAAAAACCAAAAAATGTGACAGTGTTAGAGCTAGAAAAACACTCAGCTTTATATCCTTTTTCATAACTGATGTTCATTGCCTGCATCCAGTTCTACCTCAATATTGATATTTAACTTTACTTATCTTGTTGCACTGTGCCCACATGCGTATTCTTTCTACAAACACATTCCATTGGCTAGATTCTGCATGTAAGGGAAAACACGATTTCTTTCTGATACTGTATGACCTTACAAACTATTACATGTTCTAAGTCCAACCGTTTTCCTGCATGTTATTATTAATTTTTCTCTTCAGGTGAATGGTACTTCACAATATATTTATACCATTTCATTATTCATTCATCTGTTGATAGACAGGTTGATTCCAATGTTGTTATTCCCATGTTCTTATTCTTTTTTGAATAAGCAGTAGTAAACATCGGGTATAAATATCTCCTGGGGATATGGCCAGGAGTCAAAAACTGAGTCATACATTAGTTCTATCTTTAATTGCTTAATAATCTTCAAACTGATTTCCATTGGAATGTATTAATTTCCATCCCCTCCCCCACGCACCAACACTGAATAAGGGCGTCTTTCTCTCCACATCTTCTCTAACATGTATTGTCAGGTTAGCTGAGGCAGTATGTCAGAGTAGGTTTAGTTTGCATTCCTCTTGGTGAATTTTAGGGATTTTGAATACATTTTGCTATATTCACTGATCATTTGGGTTTCGATATTTGAATTTCATATATTTGATACTTCAATTTATTTGCCCACTTGGTGATTGGCAGTTTTATTTCCTTGAAATTTACTTTCTGTAATTCTCAGTGAATTCTAGATAGGAGCTGCTATCCAGAATGCTACTGGTACAGATTCTTTCCCGTTCTGTGTAGTCGCTATGTGATCTGCTGATTTGTATTGAAACTCTTTATCTTCATGGCGTATCATCTGTTAATACTTGGGTTAGTTCCTATCCTGTTATTTCTTCTAATCAGTAAGTTCTTGCCCACCTCAGTGTCCGGATGTGTAGTCCCTAAGTTTTCTTGGTTTCTGTTTGCCTGTTTCTAAATGAGTTTTTGATTCATTTTAAATGGATTATTATACATTGTGTAAGATAATCTAATATCTTCATTTACTGACAGAAAATCTATGTCACTCCAGAATGCATCCAAAGTAACTACACTTATATGTACACAGTGAGCTGTAACTTAAACATTATTTGATGTGTTTTTAAGACTTCTATCAATTTTCATAATTCTGCAACTGAAGTGAAATGTTCTTCAAAACTTCTGAAATTGTTATTTGTTTAAGTCAGCTTCTTAATATTTATAGAAAAATTAGGATTATATCAAATGTGACTGATGCTGATTTTTCTATCTGCTTGAAAGTGGTTCAATATTATTATGAAATTAAGTCTATAGACTACTTGACCTTATTATATATTGAAGTTAAAATTTGCAGTATGCAGTGTGACACGCCTTGTTACTGTTGGGAAAAGCCCAAAGTCTTTGACTATCCAGTCAATCATGAATTATGTCTTCTGTATCTATCCCTTTACTATTTAATGATGGGGCTTTGAACCTAGAATTTAAACACCCCCAACTGATCCTGTTAGGATAGAGTCATGTAAGACCTAAGTACAGACAGTATTGATTCAGTATCAATATTTTAGCATGATCTTCAGGTACTGCATTAAAAAGCACATGTCCTCATCAAGAATTTTCCTTCTGAGGCATGGACAATACCAATGTGACCTAACTCAGCATCCATAACATACAGATTACTGTGTTCAGACCTTAAATGTGTATCTTCTTGGCAGGGACATGCTTGTGAAACTATTATGTATGTCATCCTGCTTTCAAAGTTAAAACATTCATTATAGAGTGTGACTTTATTAGAAATCATCTTTTTGAGTGTTTGTCTTCTCTCATCTTCGATATCCCTGATTTCCTTAAATTTCCTGGTGTTATGTGATTAAACTGTGCCCTTTGTTTCAGGGTCTGTTTATATTCCGGGATGTGAATGTGAACATCTCCCAGGAGAGAAAGGAATGCCTGGACACTGCTCAGGGAAATTTGTACATTGATGTGATGTTGGAGAATTACAACAACCTGGTCTCTGTAGGTGAGAACGTTTGCTTATAGAATTTCCAACTCAGGCTATAGGTCGTTAACTGTCTGTTAGGCTGCATTGGAAGCCACAGGAAACGAGGAAATGCGTGGTAGTAGAAAAATTCTTTTTCTTGGTATTTGTTTTTTGCTTTTTTAACATTTTACATAATTAGTGGTGTCATAGACTGTAACATGATTAAAAAAAAACCCAGAGATAGAAATAAATGTTCAACCTGAAGGTCAGAAAAGCAAAACAGTCAGCCACTGGCTCTTACTTTTACCTCAGTCCAAAATGGCAATCCTGCATCCAATAATCTCAGAATGAGCCCATGTGTAAGAGCTGTTTTCTCCCTTCTTACATTCCTCTTTAATTTAGGGTTAACGGCGTGAACAACTACTGCCCGATTTCTTAGGCAAACTACTGTGGCTACTGGTTTTAAAGGTGTATTCACTGCCGCCTAGTCTATAAGACTGATCAGTGCTACTGTTTTATTCTCTGAACTTCAGTCAAGCTTTATTTATTAAAATACGTATGCAATATTACTAAAATGCACCCTTTATTTTAGTTTCACAATGCATTCAGAAACTCAGTAGCTTAAGTGGTTTTCAACCATATCTTTTTTTTAATTTTTTTTATTATTTATTAAGCTCTACAATTTTCTCTGCTCCCGTCCCTGCTCCTCCCCTACCCCTTTCAAACCTCCCCCAAGGTCCCCATGCTCCCACTTTACCCAGGAGATCGTGTAGTTTTCTACTTTCTACTTCCCATGTAGATTAGATCTGTGTAAGTCTCTTAGTGTCCTCATTGTTATCAAAGTTCTCTGGGATTGTGGTTTGTAGTCTGGCTTTCTTTGCTTTGTGTTTAAAAACCACCTATGAGTGAGTACATGTGATAATGTCTTTCGGTGCCTGGGTTACCTCACTCAAATTATGTTTTCTAGCTCCATCCATTTTCCTACAAAATTCAAGCTGTCGTTAATTTTTTTTTGTTGTATAATACTCCATTACTCCATTGTGTAAATGTACCACATTTTTCTTATCCATTCTTTGATGGAGGGGCATTTAGTTTGTTTCCAGGTTCTTGCTCTGACAAACAAAGCTGCTGTGAGCATAGTTGAGCACATGTCCTTGTGGCACAATTGAGCATCCTTTGGGTGTATACCCAAAAGTGGTATTGCTGGGTCTTGAGGAAGATTGTTTTCTAATTTTCTGAGAAATAGCCATACTAACATCCAAAGACATTGTACCAGCTTGCATTCCCACCTGCAATGCAGAAGTGTTCCCTTTTCCCCACAACCTCTCCAGCAGAAGTTGTCATCAGTGTTTTTGATCTTGGCCATTCTTACAGGTGTGAGTTGGAATCTCAGAGATTCCCTTTCTCTGATGACTAAGGATGTTGAACATTTCCTTAAGTGTCTCACAGCCATTTTAGATTCCTCTGTTGAGAGTTCTCTGTTTAGGTCTGTACTCCATTTTTTTTTATTGGATTATGTGATCTTTTGGTGTCTAATTTCTTGAGTTCTTTGTATATTTTGGAGATCAGACCTCTGTCTGATATAGGGTTAGTGAAGATCTTTTCCCATTCTGTAGGCTGTTTTGTCTTGATGACCATGTTCTTTGCTTTACAGAAGCTTTTCAGTTTCAGGATGTTCCTTTTATTAATTGTTTCTCTCAGTGTTTGTACTGCTGGGGTTATATTTAGGAAGGGGTTCCCTGTGCCAATGTGTTCAAGTGTACTTCCCACTTTCTCTTCTATAAGGTTCAGTGTGGCTGGCTTTATGTTGAGGTCTTTGATCCATTTAGACTTGATTTTTGTGCATGGTGATAGATATGGGTCTATTTTCATTCTTCTACATGTTGATATCCAGTTATGCCAGCACCACTTGTTAAATATGCTTTCTTTTTTCCATTTGATATTTTTTGCTTCCTTGTCAAACATCAGGTGTTCAAAAATGTGCGGATTGATATCCAGGTCTTCTATTTGGTTCCATTGGTCCTCCTGTCTGTTCTTATGCCAGTACCAGGCTGTTTTCAGTACTGTAGCTCTGTAGTAGAGTTTAAAGTGAGGGATTGTGATGCCTCCAGAAGTTCTTTTATTGTACAAGATTGTTTTGACTATCCTGTGGTTTTTTTTTTTTTTTTTTTTTGCTTTTCCATATGAAGTTGAGTACCATTCTTTCGAGGTCTTTGAAGAATTTTGCTGGGATTTTGCTGGGCATTGTGTTGAGTCTGTAGATTCCTCTGGTAAGATTGCCATTTTTACTATGTTAATTCTGCCTACCCAAAGGTGTGGAATATCTTTCCACTTTCTGATGTCTTCTTGAATTTCTTTCTTCAAAGATTTAAAGTTCTTGTCATACAAGTCTTCCACTTGTTTGGTTAGAGTTACTCTGAGATATTTTATGCTATTTGTGGCTATTGTGAAAGGTGTTGATTCTCTGATTTCTTCCCCAGCCCTTTTATCCTCTGTGTACAAGAGGGTTAGTGAATTTTTTTAGTTAATTTTATATCCTGCTACATTGCTGAAAGTGTTTATGAGTTGTAGAAGTTCTTTGGTGGAATTTTTCAGATCACTTATGTAAACTATCATATCATCAGCAAACAGTGAGAGTTTGACTTCTTTTCCAATTTGTATCCCCGTGATCTCCCTTTGATGTCTTATTGCTCTAGCCTAGGATCTCAAGAACTATTTTGAATAGATAAGGAGAGAGTGGGCAACCTTGTCTTGTTCCTGATTTCAGTGGAATTGCTGGGAGTTTCTCTCCATCTAGTTTGATGTGGGCTTTTGACTTGCTGTATTTTGCCTTAATTATGTTTAGGTATGTTCCTTGTATCCCTGCTCTTTCCAAGACCTTTATCATGAAAGGATATTGTATTTTGTCAAAAGCTTTTTCGGCATCTAATGAGATGATCATGTGGTTTTCATTTTTCAACTTGTTTTTATGGTGGATTACGTTGACAGATTTTCGTATGTTGAACCATCCCTGCATCTGTGGGATGAAGCCGACTCGATCATGGTGAATGATGGTTCCGATGTGTTCTTGGATTTGATTTGCCAGTATTTTATTTAATATTTTTGCATCAATGTTCATGAGTGAGATTGGTCTGTAATTATCTTTCTTTGTAATGTCTTTCTGTGGTTTGGTATCAGGGTATTTGTAGGCTTATAAAAAGAGTTTGGCAGCGTTCCTTCTGTTTCTATTGTGTGGAATAATTTGAAGAGTATTGATATTAATTCTTGGAAAATCTTGTAAAATTCTGAGCTGAAACCGTCTGGTCCTGGGCTTTTTTTTTGTTTGGGAAACTTTTGATGACTGTTTCTATTTCTTCAGCATTTATAGGTCTGTTTAATTTGCTTATCTGGTCTTGATTTAATTTTGGTGATATTTATCCAGAAAGTTGTTCATTTCCTTTTAAGTTTTCGAATTTTGTGGAGTATAGGTTTTAGAAATATGACCTGATGATTCTCTGTATTTTGCTCTGTGTCTGTTGTTATGTCCCCGTTTTCATTTCTGATTTTGTTAATTTGGATATTCTCTCTCTGCCTTTAGTTAGTTTGGATAAAGGTTTGTCTATTTTGTTTATTTTCTCGAAGAACCAGCTCTTTGTCTCATTAATTCTTTGTATTGTTTTCTTTGTTTCTATTTTGTTGATTTCAACTCTGAATTTCATTATTTCCTGCTGTCTAGTTCTCTTATGTGAATTTGCTTCTTTTTGTTCTAAAGTTTTCAAATGTTCTGTTAATTCACTAGTGTGGGATTTTTCCAGCTTCTTTATGTGTAGGCATTTAGTGCTATGAACTTTCCTCTTAACACTACTTTCATTGTGTCCCATAAATTTGGATATGTTGTGTGGTCATTTTCATTGAATTTTAGGAAGTCTTTGATTTCTCTCTTTGTTTTTTCCTTGACTCATTGATGATTCAGGTGAACATTGTTTAATTTCCATGTGTTTGTGGGTTTTCTACAGTTAGTATTGCTGTTGACTTCTAGTTTTATACCATGGTGATCTGATAAAGTACATTGGTTTATTCCAGTTTTTTTTGTATTTATTGAGGTTTGTTTTGTTACCAAGTATGTGATCAATTTTTGAGAAGGTTCCATGAGGTGCTGAAAAGAAGGTATATTCTTTTCTGTTGGGATGGAATATTCTATAGATGTCTGTTAAGTCCATTTGAGTCATAACATCTGTTAGTTCTCTTATTTCTCTGTTCATTTTTTATCTGATTGACCTGTCCAGTGGTGAGAGGGGAGTGTTGAATTCTCCCACTCTTACTGTGTGGGGTTTAATGTATGATTTAAGCCTCAGAAATGTTTCTTTGACATATGAGGGTGCCCTTGTATTTTGGGGCATAGATGTTCAGTATTGAAATTTCCTCTTGATGGATTTTCCCTATGACTAATATGAAATGACCTTCTTTGTCTTTTTTGACTGATTTTAGCTTGAAGTCTATTTATTAGATATTAGGATAGCTACACCTGCTTGCTTCTTAGGTCCATTTGATTGGAATATTTTTTCCCAACCCTTTAGTTTGAGATGATGTCTGTCTTTGAGGTTGAGGTGTGTTTCTTGTATGCAAAGAAGGATGGATTCTGTTTTCTTATCCAATCTGTTAGCCTGTGCCTTTTTATAGGTGAGTTGAGTCCATTTACATTAAGGGATATTAATGACCAGTGGTTGCTATCTCTTGTTAATTTAGTTTTCATCGTTGGTGATGTTAATTTGTGTGTTTTTTTCTTCTTTGGGATTTGCTGTTATGAGATCATCAATTGTCTGTGTTTCTGTTGGTGTAGCCACCTTCCTTGGGTTGGAATTTTCCTTCTAGTATTTTGTGTAGGGCTGGGTTTGTGGCTAGGTATTGGTGAAATCTAGATTTGTCATGGAATATCTTGCTTTGTCCTTCTATCGTGATTGACATTGTTTTGCTGGGTATAGTAGTCTGGGCTGGCATCCATGGTCTCTTACTGTCTGCACAATACTTGTCTACTACCTTCAGGCTTTCATTGTCTCCAATGAGAAGTCAGGTGTTATTCTGATAGGTTAATCTCTATATGTTACTTGGCCTTTTTCCTTTGCAGCTCTTAATATTCTTTCTTTCTCTGTATATTTAGCGTTTTGAATATTATGTGGCAAGAAGACTTTTTGGATCCAGTCTATTTGGTGTTCTGTTAGCTTCTTGTGTCTTCATAGGCATATCTTTCTTTAGGTTGGGAAAGTTTTCTTGTATGATTTTGTTAAATAAATTTTCTGTTCCTTTGAGTTGAACTCCTTATTCTTTTATACCCATTATTCTAAGATTTGGCCTTTAATGGTGTCCCATATTTCCTGGATATTTTGGGTTAAGCTTTTATTAGATTTATTGTTTCTCTCTTCCATCTCTTGTTTCTGTTGTTCAGGCTTGCGTTTGTGTTTCCTGATCTTTTTCTCGTGATTTCTGTTTCTATAGTTTCTTCGCCTTGTGTTTTCTTTATTGCTTCTATTTCAGTTTTCAAGTCCTGAATAGTTTCTTTCATATGTTTGATTTCTTTTTCTTGATTTTCTTTAAGTGATTTGCTGATATCTTCCAATTTTTTGTTTGTCTTTTTTTCAATTTATTTAAGGGAATTTCTCATTTCATCTTTAAGAATTTCTAACATTCTCTTGAAGTTACTTTTTAGTTCATTTTCTTCTGGTTCATCCATATTGAGTTGTTCAGGTCTTGCTGTTGTAGGGACTTTAGGTTTTACTGGTGTTATTCAGGTCTTTCTGGTGTAGCATGTGATCTTACCTTAGGTTGGGGCTGTCTGAGATTCTGTTGAATAATCTTCTAGGTGCCAGTGAATCCAAAGCTCAGATGGTTGTTCCTTGTGGTACAGTCTGTGTCAAAGTTCTTCTTACCCTGTTGGTGTTCCTGGAGATAGCTCAGTGCTCCTGTGTCTTGTTCTACTCACTTGCAGTTTGCTGTCTCAGGCCTTCTTTGGCCTATGTTGCCAGCTTTGCCCTGTTTCTGTACATCTTGGTCTGGATCTTCTTCTGCAGAAGTCCCTGGCTTGGAGTTTAACCTCTTCTGGTGGAGATCACTGAATCTGGATCGGGGCTCAATCCTGATCCACCAGTGTCCCGGGACTTGGTTGGCTCCAGGAACTGGAGGTATTTGCTCTCTGTCCTAGGTAGCTGGTTTTGTCCCACTCCGGTTCTGGTGGAGATACCGAACTCTGGGTCAGGTCACTGGCTCAGTCCTGTTCTGCCAGTGTCCAGGGAATGGGTTAGCTTCCAGGACTGGTTTTGCTCCTGACTTCTGCTTCTGGTGGATCTTGTTTCCTCAGGCCCTCTCTGTCCTAGGTAGCTCCTCCAGAACAAGTCCTTTGGAATTTGTTGCCTAAGGTGGAGTTCCTTGCCTCTGGGCAAATGTGGCCTAGGTTACTAGGTTTGACCTGTATCTGTAAATCTTGGTCTGGATTCCCTCCTGCAGAAGTCCCTGGGTTGGAGTTGGACCTGGAAAGGTTTCTGGCCCCGGTCTTCTGCCTCGGAGGTTCTAGGTTCCGGTGCGTCCAGACCCTCAGAGGACTTGCTTACTTCATCAGAGATCCCAGACTCACACTCGGACCTGCAGAGGTTCCAGGTTCCTGCTTATTCTCTTTGATGTCCCAGACCAATGCCAGGACCCAGAGAGGTCCTGGCTCAGGCCTACTCCCTCTGAGGACCCAGACTCATGCCTGGCCCTGCCAAGATGACTGGTTCCTTTCTATTCCCTCAGAGTTCCCAGGTTCACTCATGTCCAGACTGGCAGAGGTCCTGGCTCAGGCCTAGTTCCTGGGAGGTCCTAGACTTACACCCAGACCCACCGGGGTGTTGGCTTAGGTCTACTTCCTTGAAGGTCCTAGATTCATATCCAGACCCTCAGTGATCTCTGACTCTGACTCAGGCTCACTCGCTCAGCGGTTATTCCCCGTACCTGTTCCACTGGAGATCTCTGACTCTGGATTTGGTCACTGGCTCAATCCTGATCCACCAGGGTCCAGGAAACGGGTTGGTTCCCAGTTCTGGATTTGCTCCTGGCTTCTACTCCTGGTGGAACTTGTTCGCTCTCTGTCCTAGGTAGCTGGTTTTGTCCCACTCCGGTTCTGGTCTTTACCCATATCTTAAAACAGGTTGTCCATCATTGCCTTTGCCATTGTTTTAATTGTGAGAAAAATTAAGAGTATGGAAACTTAAAATTCTTCCTAAATATGCTGAAGATTCTGATAGGAAAGAGCAACTGGGAAATCATTCCTGTATTCCTCTACTTTGTGTTCTCTTCATGTAATGAGCAGAGCTCTGTGTTAGTTGTCTGTATTCCTTCTAACAATTCTAGCAGGGGTCATGGGCTACCTCACAGAACATGTGGATTATTATATGCAAGGTAGGCCTGGTCACCTATCTGGAGCAAATGAGGTGGCCCTGGAATGTGGAGAGGAGAGAGTAACCACACTTGGAGTAGGATAGTGACTGTGCAGGGCAACAGTAATGACTTCAAGTGAAAGTGAAAGCAAAGCAAGGACTGAGAATAGGTTTTTTGCTTTATCCAATTCCACTTAAAAGGATTCCTGATCATTTAAATTAGTGTAACATCCTGGCCCCAGGATGCATTCAGTCTATTGGAAATGTTGGAAGACATTGAGCCTTATTGCACCCGAATTATAGAGACAATACTAGTACAAAATGCAATTTTATGTGAGTATGCTGATATTGGAATAATCTGACAAATTATAAACCTAATGTGAATCCATGAAGTAGAATTATTCTGTAATTGCCTACCTTGCATGTGTGTCAGTGGTGGAAAGAAAAAACAATGGCTTTCTGTAGTAGCCCTGCCACTAATGATCTAGAGCAGCGGTTGTCACTGTTGTTAATGTTACGACCTGGTAATGAACAGCTTGCATTGTGGTGACCACAACCATGAAATTATTTTGAGTACTACTTCTTTGCTACCTAGTTACTTTGCTACTAAGTGATATCTCAGTTACTAAGGCCATCAGACATATGTTTTCTCAGATGGTTACCACCCACAGGTTGAGAAATGATGATCTAGAGCCTCTGATGTCTGACAGAATCCTTGCTTTGCATCCATTATTATTGAAGAGTCTATGTAGTTTTTTTGCAGGGGGGGGGGACCTTTGATGCTTTTATATATGCCTTGAATCTTTAAAGACATTTGGTCTTCTGCACTCTGAACCTGGGATTGGATTATACTCTTCTTTAACAATTTCCGAGATAAAACTATTTAAAAATACACACGGGTATGTGGGGGTCGCCATTCCACGCCACCCACCTCCCACGAGTTCTATATTTCCTAGGGGTTAAAACAGAAGACGCACACACAGATACAGAGTTCGAGTCATCCTCAAGAAGAGAATGCCCAATTTATTCAACTTAATCCAGGGTTAAATACTTTTGGCCCCAGTAAAGAAAAGCTCCTCCCACCCAGAGGGGGCTGGGGAAACTGGTGCCTGTGAGAGCTTCTCTGCTGGCAGGTGGTCCGCAGGCAGGTGGTGAGGGTGCAAGGCAGTATCAGACAGGGTAGATGGGCCTTGGCGCCTGAGCTTCTTTTAGGCAGGTTGAGAAATTACCATTTTAAAGTTAAATAGACCCCTCAGGCTATTGTACCAGGCTGTAGCAGAAGCAAGCACAGAACTTAGCAGGAAGCTTAGCTGGTTAGCGTAAACATTGTAAACATTACGTGCATCCTGTGTTTTGGCCTCAAGGAACAGGGAGGGCAGGGTCTCACACAGGTATTCTATATATAATCAGTCAGTGGACTTCTTCCCAAGGGGAATTACTGATTCCTCAATTATTTGTTTCAATTTCCTTGAAGTCTATCAGTCTCTCGCTGTGAAAATCCATATATGAGGTCAAGTACTGTGAGCTCTATTCTAAGTAGTTGCTGGTTGACTTATCTTAAGAGAGAACTTAGGAAGAGAGTCATTTATCAAATGATTTGTCTTGAAACAAGCCCTATTAATCTGAATTGTACTCATTTTCCAGAGAACTATGGCATGTGTAACACTGTTCCCCAGCATGTGAAGACTGATAAGGAGTCTCGTCAATGTAATGAGATTGGCAAAATGCTTCATGACCCATCCACATGTGCACTTTATAGAACAAGTGAAACTGCAGAAAACTCTAATAACTACAGATGCTGTAATAACGGGAATGCCTCTGTTGACTCATCTAACCTAGATAGACATGAAAGCATGCACGCTGGAGAAGAACCTTGCAAATCTAGAGACTGTGAGAAATCTTTAAATTTATGTTCCAACATTACTCAAAATCACAGAGTCTATACTGCAAGGAAAGACAACAGGAAGGGAGAATATGGTAACTGTTTCAGCTCTGCTTACAGTCCTATGCAGCAAACAATCTATATTAGAGAGAAACCATTCCTGTGTGAGGAATGTGGGAAATGCTTCAATACTGCCTCAAACCTCAGTGTACATCGGAGAATTCATACTGGAAAGAAACCCTATAAGTGTGATATTTGTGAAAAATCCTTTGCCCGACGCTCAAACTTTAAAATTCATCAAAGACTTCATACTGAGGAGAAACCCTACAAATGCAAAGAATGTGGAAAGTCATTTCGTCAGTCCATGGGACTTAATAACCACCAGAAATTGCATACCGGAGAGAAACCTTACAAACGCAAAAAATATGGAAAGTCCTTTATTGGAAAGTCAAATCTTAAAGAGTATTACAGAATCCACACTGAAGGGAAGCCTTATAATTGTGAGGTATGTGACAAATCCTTTCATATCTCATTTCTTAGAGCACATCAGAAAATACATACTGGAGAGAAACCTTGCAAACGTAAGGAATGTGACAGATCCTTTGTCTATAACTCATATTTTAGAACACAGCAGATTGTTCCTAGTGAAGAGAGACATTGTAGTAAGAAATGTGACAAATATTTTACTAGATGCTTCTACTTCAGAGCACATCAGAAAATTCATAGAAGAGAAACATAGCATTGTGAATAATGTGATGTACCATTTATCTGAAATTCTCTGCTTACAAATCTCAAGAGTATACGTAATAGAAACACAAAGATAAGAAACTTGTGAATGCCTTTAATAAAGGTCTAAATCTTTGAAAACATCACAGGGTTTATATAAACATTAAATCCTGCAAAATAGTGGAAATTTTTTTATGTGTTTATGTTTGTGGTAACATTGCATGCATGTATTTCTGTATACCATGTGTCTGCCTGGTCCCTGGGCATGAACAAGCCCAGAATAGGGCATCAGATCCCCTGAAACTGGACTAACAGTAAATCGTGAGATAATATGTGTGTTGAATTAAACCTCGTCTTCTGGAATAGCAACCACTGCTCTTAACCACTAAATCATATCTCCAGTCCTCAGAGGAATAAGGAAAATCTTCATGAAATGTTCTCTTTTCCTTTGTGTCCCTGGGGAGGTGTGAGGCTTCCATCATCTTGGACGTATGATAATTCAGAACCTCACCAATGTATTCACATCTCAATCTTTTAGTTAATTTCTGCCCCTAAATTTTGACTGAGCTATGAAATGGAGATGGGATTCCAGTTACACTAACTGAAAATACTTCCTAAATATTCTAACATTGCATGACAATTGGAGAGTCACTTGTTTTGTTTTCTTTTTATCTACTATGCACAGTACTACGTTAGAAATCCAGGTACTTTCTAAAGAATCCTTTTCTCATGTGCAGGTCTCACTGATCACCCAGACCTGGCCACCCATGGAGCAGAACAAAAAACCCAGAAAAATGGAGAGGGAGGAGACAGTGTCTAAGGATCCTGGTATGTTGCAGGGATTGTTGAAGGAGTAGAAAGAGTTTCAGGTGAATGTGGACTTGGGATGTGAAATCAGTTTTGACACATTGTTTCACTAAAAATACTGGAGACTTCCATCCACTGAGAAAGAGCTCATGGTTATCCTAATATAGCATGCCTATATTAGGTATGAACAGATATGTTGAAAGGAGCTGTTGTGCAAAAGAATTGATACTAGGAGGCAAATAAAATTTTATTTGAGTATACATATCAATGATACTATCCATATTGATGTACGTCACTGATCATGTCATACAAATATTAAGTGAAATTCATTTCTGTGGTTTAATGTGTTATATAAAAGGATGAAATTTAATACCTCTAGGTTTATTTATTGTTTTCAGATAGTTTTGAGCTTTGGTGTGCGAGCACATTCTCTACCTTTTAGTGTAGTATGAGGGGAAAGAGGCTGTGTCCCACCCATCTCCTGGCCACCCGGCTAACTTTTACCCGAAAAAATTACACAGAAATTGTATTAAATTACTGCCTGATCCATTAGCTTTAGCTTCTTATTGGCTAGCTCTCACATCTTGATTCAACCCATTTCTAATAATCTGTATGTCACCACAAGGTCATGGCTTACCGGGAAAGATTTGGCTTACTGGGAAAGAATTAACATGTCTGACTATGGTGGGCTCTCTCTCTGCCTGTCTTCTTTCTCCCAGCATTCAGTTCTCTTTTTCCCACCTACCTAAGTTTCTGCCCTATCAAAAGGCCAAGGCAGTTTCTTTATTTGAGCAATGAAAGCAACACATAGAAAGAAGAACCTCCTACACCATTTCCCCTTTTTCTGTTTAAAAAAAAGGAACACTTTAACTTTAACATAGTAAAATTACACATAACAAAAGTTATCAAGCAAGAATTACAGTCACAATATTTATATCTATTTTATCTTCTATTATAACTAAGGAAAACTATAACTATCGATTCCTCAACTCCATCAAAGACTCCAGAAGGAGTAAACAAGTTTACCTAAGTAAACAAGAAGTAAGAAACTTCCAAAACTCTAGAAATGACAGAGACATTTCACTGCCTGGACAGTCACCCAAAGTTTTTCTGTACCATTGGGGCATCCATCTTCAGCCTATAGGCCCATAGTATCCAGCAGACTTTTTAATGAAGCAGGAAATTTCAAAGACAGTTCAGTCACTTTCTTCTGTATCCTGCAGAATGTCTTGCAGACTCTTTCATGCAGCAGGAACCCCAAAGAATCATCTCACCTTTAGGCAAGTTCAGCAGTCCTCTCTCTGTGGGTTCTTTGTGTCCAGTTTATGCAACAGTCCAGGCAAGAGCAGTTTCTTGCCCAATGGCTAACCAACTCCATAAGGAGCCTCTTTGATGCCCATCTTTCTCTTGAAGTAGATTGGTGCTGCCAGGAGTAGACATGTCTTATTGTCATGAAAAGCCCTAAGTTATTAAAACATTTTAAATGCCATATTCTATAGTCTTTGAAAGATATGAAGAATGTCTATCTGACTGAAATATATCTCTCTATATATAGAAAATCTAACTAACATAACTACAAGCTTGACTATTATCAATGATTATCCACTAACAACCTGTATTTCCTAAGTATACAGTACATTTTTAAATGAACTACACAATCACAATACCTTAATCAAGATCAGAAATACATATACAGATAGAACTTTTATAAACAATATTTGGGAATATGAGCGCAGTTTTTTCTTTCCAAACTGCTTCTTGCTGTATGGGGGCGCTGTTATTCAGGTCTTTCATGGTATAACCTGTCTGCTAGGTTCATTTCAGTCGGCAGTTGAATGAAGTAATTTTTTTGAGGGTATTTCCGGCAGCCTTTCAGGAGGGCGGGGTCCATGAAACCATATTATTGGTCTGGAAGCAATTCACAGGTTCTCATCTTCTGAGAAAACAAAAGAAGAACCTCTTTTCCAAAGCATCATATCCTTAGACCCAAATTCTGAAGTCATAATACCTTTATAATATACATGTTGGTTTGGCTTAGCTGTCCACACAATGAAAAGTCTTGCTGTACTTAGCTCCTTTACAGTCAAAAAATTTAAAGAAAACACAATAATATACAGAATCCAGGCCCTCTGTGAATTTTCCATTTTTACGTGGCTTATTTTTCTTTTTATTTTTTATCTATAACTATCTGTACTCTGTCTCTTAAAAGACTTTACTCCCTTTTTTTAGGCATTAACTTTATTTTAAAGCATTAACTTCATTCACTGTATTCTTTTTCTTCTCTCTCCCAAGCCAACATACACCCATCCAACACTGTGACCCATTTAGAGGTCTTTTATGTCTGAATCTGTCCTATTGTGAATATGTAATTCTCCACTGTCTTGAAGAACTTTTAAAATATTAAGCAGCTTGGTTACAGCTGCTCTGAATGTTGGCTTCACCTCTCTTCAATTTCAGAGTGGTGGACGTACCATTTCTGCTAGCTCTGGAGCTGCCAGGTAGGAGCCACAGTCAGCACTTTAACTCTGAGAATGAGCTTTTTCATCTTAGTTACAACCAAATCTGCCAGAGCACTGCACAGCCTGGAAACATCTTTGTGTATGACAGCAGAAATCCGCCATGCTCTCTTGCTTGTGCATGCCTAGTAAACTTGATCCCACCGCCTACACAGGCAAGGAGCGCTGAGTCACAGGCATGGTCTCAGCTAGTTTCCTCCCAAACCTAGTGGACACAGAAACACCCAGGTCCCACAAATGTCATTGAAATGCTTTATAGAGTTCACACTTCTGGCACAGCCCAGGAAGCCGTCTTTTTAAAATGGCGCAGCTTTTTTCCTGCTGCTATTGCTGAGTCGGGAAATTTCTCTGCAGCACCCTGCCGGCACACAGCAAAAAGCTGTGCTAAACTCTATATTTGTGTTTAGAATTCCTTTTAAAGCCCTCTCAGGTTTTACATGGAGTTAGTCAACCACTTTGGGTGCCACTCTGTAGTGCAAGGGGGAGCGGACTGCATCCCACCCAGCTCCCTGCCACCCAGATAGCTTATACCCATTGTATTAATTAAATTACTGCCTGACCTATTAGCTCTAGCCTCTTATTGACTAACTCCCACATCTTGATTCAATCCATTTCTAATAATCTGTATGTCACTATAAAGTCGTGGCTTAACGGGAAAGATTCAGCATGTCTGACTCTGGCGACTCCATGGTGGCTCTCTCTGCCTGCCTTCTTTCTCCCAGCATTCAGTTCTCTTTTTCCCGCCTACTTAAGTTTCTGCCTATCAAAAGGCCAAGGCAGTTTCTTTATTTAATCAATGAAAGCAACACATAGAAAGAAAAACTTCTACACCATTTTAGTGTTAATGTGTCCATTCCTGAAAATGATGTCGAGAGAGGTTTGATAAGAATCAGGAAGAATATTTATAGACTATTTAACTCTGTCTACACTGTCTGCCCATTGCTATCTCCTGTTGTCTGTTGTCATGACAATTCCAAGTGGTTTTCATTACTGTAATATAATATACTGGCTTCTCATTGGTAGTTTTGTTTTTAAAAAAAATCTATGGCTCTTTTGTGGACCTTTTTATCTGAGAGTATTGATATGGTTGACAGTGATTTTTTTCCATAAGCTTTAAATGTGGTTTCATGCTCTCCTGGCTTTGAGACCATTGACCAGACACCTGGAAGTATCCTGGTTCTTGGGTTTTTTTTCATGTGGTTACATTGTTATTGAACAGTTTTCCTTACTAAATTTTGTTTTTTCTGTTTGACTCCTTTATATGAAAGGACAGCAAGCCATCTATTCAGCAAGCCGTCTATTGTTCCTGAAAGAGAAACTCAAAGAGGAGAAACAAGAAATGGCTGATTCTCCAGGACATATGTATCAGGTCATTGGTCATGTCAGTTTCTATCTGGAAATGTTTTATTTTAAGACATTAATTTTCTGCTTCTGGTACTTTTTTAACTTTATTATGAAAAACAGTTGCAAACAACGAAAAATTCACATTCTAAAATTAACCAGACCGCAAGACTGTACAACTCTATGTACTTTTATACAGTTATAGTAATCATTGGGGGAGAGAAGCTCTGGAACCTTACATCGACTTTCATGTTTCAATCCTGAATATATTTTGTAATAATTATCTTCTATCCCTTTCCCCTAAAAGTGTGACAGAATTAGAACTAGAAAAACAATTATTTTTATATCCTTTTTCATTGCTTTTGTTCATTAACTGCATGCAGTCCTATCTCAGCACCTGATATTCACCCTTTTTTTGTCCTCTTAACTCTATGTTCTACTGTGTCCTAATAAACATTGTTTCCATAAACACATATAATTGACTAGATTCTGCATATGAGGGAAAATGTGATTTCTCGTGGCACTTTATAGCCTCTCTTATATTACACATTCTAAATCCACATTATCCTTCACATTTTTGTTATATTTTTCTCCTCAACTGACTAGTATCACATTTTTCTTATCTATTCATTATTGCATTTTCATTATCCATTCATTTGTTGATGCATGATTAGTTTGATTCCAATATTTTGCTATGGTGAATAGGCAACAGTAAGCATGGGGTGTAAATATCTCTATAGTGAACTGTGAAGTTTTCTTGCCTTATGCCCAATAGTGAAAGGACTGGGGCCACTTTTACTCCTAGCTTTAAGAATTTAATAATCTTCAAACTGATTTCCATTTGAGTTTATTAAATTACACCCCCCCACACACACACACACAACACAATAACAGTTTATAAGGTTTCCTTTCTTGTCACTTCTTCTCTAACATTTGTTATCAGATTGGCGAATGATAGTCATTCTGTTTGGAATGAGGCAATATTTAAAAGTAGTTTTTGTTTATATTTCCATAATGGCATTTTAGGGATCCTAAACACTTTTTGCAACATTTATTGACCATTTGTTTCTGTGTTTGAAATATAATCTATTCAGTTCATTTGCCCATTGGTTGATTGGCAGTTTATGTCCTTGGAATTTAATTTCTGTAATTTTTGCTAAATTCTAGGTATGAGTCCCTAAACTGTCACTGGTACAGATTCTCTCCCAATCTGTGGGTATCTGAGTGATCTGCTGATTGTTTCCTTTCGTGTACAGAAACTTTATTTTTATTTTTACGTAATCCCATTTGTTTATACTTGGATTTTGTTCCTGTGCTATTTGTGTGTTTACCATTCAAAAAGTTATATATAGACACAATATTTAAAAGCACATTTCCTGATCACAGACTTTTCTTCTGAGACTGGTACACTCTAATCCTTCATGACATAAACACAGCATCCATAGCAGATAACCATGTGCAAACATTAATCTGTTTTTGGTTTTATGCATATTGCTTGTAAGAATATTGTGTCAATCCTGTTTCATAGAGTTAGGACATTCATTATAGAGTGACTATGTTAGAAATCATTATTTGAGTAGTGGTCTTTACTCATGTACATCCATAATTTTCTTAAATCTCCTTATATCCATAAAGAAATCTGTCTGGTCAAACTGCGCTTTGTCTTTCAGAGTCTGTTGACATTCTGTGATGTAGCTGTCAACTTCTCCCACGAGGAATGGGAATGCCTGAACTCTGCTCAGAGGGCTTTGTATGTTGATGTGATGTTGGAGAATTATAACAACCTGATCTCTGTGGGTGAGCATAGTTTTCTTGTAGAATTCCTCACTCATGTTTTCTATGTCCCTACTTTACAGTTGTAAGCACTCTGATAAACTGTCATGGAAATAAGAGGAGACTATGGAAAGTTTGGTAGTAGGAAAAAAACATTTTTATGATCCCTGAAAAAGAAAAATAAACTCTTTGTTTCTTTTAAGTAAGCCTTTAATCTTAATAGGAATCAGATTATCTGAACTGTACTTTTCATGGCTGTTCATTAGTAAGTACAAACACTATGAACCTGGGATTGCATTAAACTTTTTTCATCATTATCTGAGAACATAATATTTAAAAATAAAGATGTGTATTCTAAATATAATCCCAAGGACTAATTACTGAGTTCTCAAATATTTGTTTCATCTTGCACAAAGGCTGTCACTCTCTTTTTGTAAGAATCTATATAATAGTGAAAAAATATGTTGACTAATGGGAGCTCTATATGAAATAGTTGCAGGTCGACTTAACAGAAAAATTAAAGAGGCAGTCATTTATCAAATGTTTGATTTGGAACAAGCTCTAGTAATCTGAATTGTATTTTTTTTCTAGAGAACTATTGGATATGTGATCCTGTCTATCAACATGTGAAGAATGAAAAGGATTCTTGTCAGTGTTGTAATGACCTTGTCAAAATGCTTCATGACCACTCCAAATATGCACTTTATAAAACAAGAGAAGCTACAGAAAACTCTAATTTAATCTACAGCTGCAGCAATCACGGGGATGCCTCTATGAACTCATCAATCCTAGGTAGACATGAAAGCATGCACAGAGAAGAACCTTATAAATCTAAAAACTGTGAGGAGTCTTTAAATTTATGTTCTAATATTACTCAAGATGAGAGGCTGTACACTGCAAAGAGAGAAAACAGACAGCGAGAATATGGTGACAATTTCAACTCGGCATACAATCTTTTGCCCCAAACAATCTACATAGGGAAAAAACTACACCAGTGTGGGCAATGTGGTAAATTCTTCAATTTCCCCTCAAACCTCGTTATACATGAGAGAATTCATACTGGAGAGAAACCCTACAAGTGCAATGTGTGTGGCAAATCCTTTACCAATTGCTCAAGTCTTGAAAGACATCAGAGAGTTCATACTGGAGAAAAGCCTTACAAATGTGAGGTATGTGACAAATCTTTTACAGTGATCTCAAATCTTAGAGCACATCAGAAAACTCATACTGGGGAGAAACCATACAAATGTAGAGTATGTGACAAATCCTTTACCCAGAGTTCACATCTTAAAAGACATCAGAGAGTTCATACTGGAGAGAAACCTTACAAATGCAAGGAATGTGACAGATCATTTTGTAAGAGCTCAACTCTTCAAGCACATCTGAAAAATCATACTAGGGAGAAAACTTACAGATGCAAAACCTGTGACATATGCTTTACCCGGTATTCAAATCTGAAAATACATCAAAGAATTCATCCTAAAGAGAGAACTTACTTTTGTAAGGAATGTGGCAAATATTTTACTAGCAGCTCATATCTTAAAGTACATCAGAAAATTCACACTGGAGAGAAATCTTACAAATGCAAACACTGTGATAAGTCCTTCACCCAGTGTTCAACTCTTAGAACACATTACAGAGTTCATACTCGGGAGAGACAGCATGTGTAAGGAATGTGAGGTTTGTTTTACTGAGTGTTCAATTCTTCAAACACATCAAAAGATTCATACTGAAGAGAAATATTGTTGTAAATAAGATGACATAGCATTTATATGGTGTTACAAATCACAACAGTGTACATGATGAAAACATAAATGTAAAATTGTAAAAACCTTGAAAGAATCTTAAAGTCTTAGGAAAATATTAAAGAGTTTATGTTAAATTAAAATCCTACAATTCTGTGTGAAAAGCTTTTAAAAATGCCTAGGTATTTTGACTGCATGTATGCCTCTACCTTGTATGTATGCTCCTGCCTGTGGAGGCCAAAAGAAGGTATCAGATCCACTGAAGCTTGAGTTATAGGTAGTTGTGGGTTGTGTGTGTGTGTGTTAGCAATTGAAGCTTGGTTCCTTGGAAGGGCAGCCAGTACTCTTAACCATTAAGCTATCTGTCCAACCACCTGGGGAAAGCTATAATTAAAACATTTACCTTGCTCAGTATCCTAAATTTCATATTAATACCATCCATGGTTGTGGTGGTTTGAAAGAAAGTGGCCACTAAAGGGAGCAGCACAGTTAGGAGATGTAGCTTTATTGGAGTAGCATTGGTCTACTCGTGTATGCTCAAGATACCACCCAGTGTCTGAGTCCACTTCCTTTTGCCTTGGATCAAGATGTAAGGACTAAACTTTAGCACCCTGTCACCCTGCATGCTGCCTTCCTACCATGACGATAATGGACTAACCCTCTGAAGTATAAGTGAGCCATCCCTATTAAATGTTTTCCTTTGTAAAAAGTTGCCATGGTCATGGGTCTCTTACCAGCAACAGAAACCCTAATAGGGACAGAAGTATTGCAGTGATAGGCCTGACAATGCTTGAAGAAATATGGACCTTGGGACTATGGATTTAAAAAGTAGTTATCTGTTTTAAGTGCTGGTTAATGGGACATCCTGGTAGGAGCATGGAAGACAGTGGTACTAAGTGATTTTAATATGAGTACCTGGATTGGGTAGTAAAAAAATGTTAGTATGTGTCTTAGAGATTGTTGTGATATTTTGATGAAGAATGTAGCTGCCTTTTGCCCTTGTCCAAAGTTTCTCTGTGAGGATAAAGGGAAGTTTTGGAGTTTGTTAATTTCATTAACAGAAGGCATCTCAAAACAGCCTCATATAGACTCTACAATATAGCTATTAGTGATAACTCTAATGAATATTTTGTAATGGAAATGAGCATGTCTAGCAAGAAAAAATACAAAATGTAGAACAATTTGCAAAGGAAAAGGGCACTAGGAATGGAGTTGAATTCTGTGTTCCAGGAGCTAGAAAATGAACAATGGGAGTGGTGACCTCAGGACATCATCCTACCCAGATAAGTTTCCAACTTGTGAAAGAAAATTAAAAGAAACTTACAGCCAGGTGTACTGATACATGCTTTTAATTCCAGCACTGGGAAGGTAGAGCCAGGCAAATGTCTTGTTTGAGGCCAGCCTTTTCTACAAAGCAGATTCCAGAACAACCAGCCTTAGGCAATAAAGGAAATTGTTGAAAGCAAATATGGTGAAGGGGCCATTTCCAATCCCAGTAAGAAAGAGAACGCAGCAGCTTTGACCTCATAATTCTGACTTCAAGGGTAGAAGAAATGTATGTGGAACCCTCCTCCTTGAGTAACGAAACTCACTAAGGCCACACATGTGTCCAGGGTGTGCCGAATGGAGGCCCAGAGAGGTTATTGTGTGAAACTGAAGGAGAAGCCTGTATATCCTTGGTGACCCCAAGATGTTAGAGATGCCAGAGTCATGAGATATCTGTTGAAGAAAGCTGCTAACAGGGAGTGGGACCATCCCATGAGAAGGAAGTGTATTACCATCAACACAATTGAAGGGAGTTGGAGCTCTGAAGAACATTTTGACATTGGACATGGAAATGCAGTTTGGAATACCTGATGGGTTTTTGGTCTTGTTTTGGTCCAGTATTTCCACATTTGCTTCCCTGTGTCTTGGAATGGTAATGCATATTCTGTGTCATTATATGTTGGAAGTATGTATGTGGTTTTTTTTTTTTATTACAGTGAAAGTGATTACATGACTCAGAAGAGACTGGACTTTTAAATGTTTAGACTGTGATAGAGTAAGATCTTTTGCATTTTTTTTGCATTATGATATAGTTACATGCCTTTAGGGGCTAGGCAGTCAAATTCAGTGGTTTGAAAGGAAATGTCCCCCATAGGGAGTGAGATTTTTAAGGAGATATAGTTTTGTTGGGGTGGTTGTGGCCTTGTTGGAGGTAGGGTGTCACTGTGGATACAGGCTTTGAGTTGTCATCTGCAAGCTATTCTCATTGAGATACTTTACTTCCTGTTGCCTTTGGTTTGTTAAAAATTAAAGACAGCTGACTTCACTTTTCCATTTAATTAAACAATGTTAACCTCGGCTAGAGGTTAACTCTTGGGCAGTTTTTCCTCAATAACATTGTGAATTACACATCATAAACTGTTTTCATTATTCTGAGAATTGACTGACCATAAGATGTTTTGTGGTTTGTTAACTCTCTGTCCATAAACATGTACCATTCCCATGATCATAAAAATAACTGCAAAATTCCACTCTTTAATCACTTTCTTGCTTGATACAAAGAAACTACTCTTGCCTTTAATCTTGGCTGTTTTCATTCTACTATTCTGGGAGACTGAAAATAAGACCCAACCATTAATAAAACTTTGCCTTGCAATGTCTTGGCGTTTCCTCCTGGTTTTTGACACTAAAACAGGATCAAAATGTAAAGACTCTTAGCCTCCAATACATTGTCTTCCTGAATGCTGCCTTGCTTCCCACCATGATGATAATGGACTAAACGTCTGAACTGTAAGTGAGCCACCCCAATTCAATGTATTGTTCACCTTGAATCCCAGTAGCACTCAGGACACAGAGTTGGAAGGATGTCTCTGAGTATGATCACATACTGAGTTCCAGGACTGGTAGGACTACATAAACCCTGTCTCAAAAAGAATCATAGGGACAGAATGTAATATCAAAATTGTGACAAAGCCTTTGTTTTTCCTCTAATTTTGTTGTACACTGAAAAGGCATGCTTTTGACACCATAGAGAAGTGAACCATATATAATCCCCATACCTTACTATTCATTGGAAGTTCCACCCCCAAATACATTCATTTTGACTAATCCTTTGCCAGGTACTGAAACAGTATACATAAAATTTATCATGAAAGAAAACAAAATATTCCAATAAATTTTCATCTTTTATTCACCTTCAAAATCTTCAAACTATAGTCAAACCACACAAATATCAAGACAATGAGAAGCTGTACAGTTAAGGTGCAAATGTGACAACATGTACATGTATTCATTTAGTTTACAAATGACTAAGATCAGGGCTGGAGAGATGGTTCAGTGTTTGCTCTTCCACATCATTTAACATGGTAGCTCCCAATTGTATGACTTGTACCTGAGGATCTCATGCCTTCTGGATTATGCACATAATTCATGTATATACTCTATAAGCACATGCAGGCAAAACACCCATACACATAAAAGTGGGACTCTCCCCCAACCATGATGTAATAATTGCCTCATTCTTCCAGAATTGTTTGTTCTCGGTACTTTTTGAATAGCAATTTCAGTGTGGATTATTTACTGCCGAATGTATGAGGAAACTTCCTTCACTAAGGTTTATAGTACAAATCTTAATGATGATGAATAATTTAATAACAGATTAGTAATATGATCATTAACAAAATGTTATATTCTGCCCTTGAACCAGTAATCTCAACCCATGATCTTCTACCATGTTTGCTATTTCAGGCAAGAATTCCTTTCAGTGGAACTGGAATGAGTCCTATTGAGATTAAGGCTGATTATGCCCATAAGCAGTTGTGCCAGTATTGCACCACTGCATGCATCTTATGTTGCTTGTTATTGTACATTGCAGGTTACAGTGGTAAGACCATTGACATCCTTTCCCTGACTGGAGCCCACACAGGATGTTGCAGGGCTACAATAGCCAGCAGAGAGCTTTCCTTCATAAGTTCAAGATGGCTCTCTTGCAACCAAAATGTTTGGAGTTTTCAGCACCACCATGTACTTACGGTGACTAAGAAAGCACTGACAATGACCTGTTTTGCTTGGTGTGACAATGGGGACTCCATGATAGACAGTAGCTGCTGGTTCAGAGAGTTTCATTTAATAGTTCTGGTGTCTTGGGAGCAGCACTCTTTACCCATGTGGAAACCTCTGTTCAAATTGTAAAATCATATTTACTTAAATTACATAAGTTACATTTAACTTGTAAGACATATTTCATGAGGCTACTTCATACATCCTTACTGTTGATGTACAGACATATAGACAGACAATCCAACTCTACAAAGAAAAAGGTGGCTCATTGGTTTACCAGGTTAGAATTTGTTGTCTTCCCAATTTGGGCTTGTCAGTGTTTCCTTATCTATGATAAGTAGATGTTTGTCATTGTCTGTACAGGAATAGTATCACATCAATTCTCTAATTGGGTCACACAATACTTTTTATTCATTTTTTAAAACATCTAGATTGATTTCAGAAGTTGATTCTCTAGTTCTCACTCACAGAGCAGTGTATTGACTTCCTTTCCCCACATTTATGCCAACATTAGTTATTTCTGTTCCTGATGATTAACATTGTAGCTCGGGCAGCATGGAAACTGAAAGGAGTCCTAGTCCTAATTTCCCTGGCAGGTATATAACTTGTTCATTTTGGTTTTACTTTGGGTTGTTGTTTGTTCATTTGTTTTATTTTTGTTTTGCTTTTTTTGTTTTTTTCAAGAGACCTCTGTAGCTTTGGAGCCTATTCTAGGACTAGCTCTTGTAGACCAGGCTGGCCTCAAACTCACAGAGATCTGCCTGCCTCTGCCCCCCAAGTGCTGGGATTAAATGCATGTGCCACCACCACCACCTGGCTTGTTTTGCTGTTTACATATTATTAATTTCTGCTTATTATGTAATTAGAACATATCTCCTTGATGTTTCTCCTGCCAAATTCTCTCATATGCCCTCTTTGCTCTCCTTCAAATCCATAACTTTTTATTGTTTTTCCATACTACATATCTTCCTACATACATATATATCTAAATAAACTACTCAGTCCATATAATGTTACTTGTTTTCAGGGTTGAGCACTTGGTATTAAAGAAGCAATTGGTGTGCTCATCCATGGGAGACACTATTTTCGCTGCTATAAACATTTTCCAGTTGCCTGTCACTCTATAGTTGAAACCTTGTGGGCTTTTTTCCATCTACTCTGGTGTGCTTATTGTTTCTGTCTTTGTTCAGCTGGTTTTTGGGTGGACATATTCTTGAGATTTTAGAGATATAGCTTCTGACATTACTAGGTGTGATGGTTACTCTTGACTACATCTGGAGTGAACTACAGTTCTGAAATTGAGGGCATAACCTCAATTCTGAGATTATTTATTATTTTGGCTTGTTTTGAGGTGAATCAGTATACCTTTGAGGGAGAAAGACACACACCTTTGATCCAGGTCTTGAGGATCAAACATACACCTTGAATCTGGACCACATCTGCTGGAAGCCTATACAAGGACGAAAAAAAAAAAAGTTTTCTGGATGAAAAATACTTTGCTCATTGCCTGCTTACTCTTGTTTTGCTAATACATCCATTTGTTCACCGGCATTGAAACCTACTTTGGAATTTCAGCATGTAGTGTAAACCAGCTGAGACAAGCAGCCTTGTGGGCTGATCAACTACTGGATTATTTAGCTTTCTGTTCACAGTCAACCGTTATTGGATTAGCTGGACAGCAGCCTTTAAGTCATTCTAATAAATTCTCTTTTATTTATCAATATATAGAGGGATATGTAGATATAGATCCAGAGAGAGAGAGAAATGTAGGGGGCAGATACACAGAAATTTATTCTATAAGATCGGTTATTCTAGAGAGCCCTGAGTAATACAGATTTTGGTGCCAAAAGTGACTTCTTAAAATACCGTAAAGGACAAAAAAGACCTCAGTGATAAAATTGACTGGCTCCAAATCTGAATAAGGTATAAAGGTTTCTAATTGTGCTCTGGAAGAGAATCTTCCGTTCAGGAGTCATTAGTTGCACAAAATCAAACTGAAACCTCCTTATAAAATGGGCTGAACTACATTGAAAAGTTAAGTTTCAGCCTCAGAGGTGTCAGTGGTTGCTGCTCAATTCAATGAATTAAATACAATAGGTTTGCTCTTAAAAATAGGGCCCCTGAGATAGGAGGGGCCAGATGGCAACACTAAATCACCAAAGGCAAGGTGGTTGTAGTTATTGTAATGAGCAGCACAGACAAAGCTTAGACAATTATTAACATTTCCATAATTGCCTAGCCAGTAATGGTTAGCATGGGCAAAATGAATTTTATGGTGGCATGACTCATATGGACTTTTTGGTACTAACTAATAAGTAATAATATGGTGTTTCCAGACACCAAATAGACAAAAGGCATACTAAATTTTTGTCTGCTTTGAATAAGCAGAAAAATTCTCAAGAATCTTTACTTCCATGTGTTACTCCTGTCTAATAGCCAAGTGGCCCAGAAAGCTGCTCACTTCATATGGGGCAGGGAATGGGAAAAGGCTCTTCAACAGGTTCAGGCTGCTTTGTTGGCTGATCTATAACTGGAATCATAGGATCCAGCACACCTAAGAGTACTTAGGTGTCAGTGGCAGGTAAGAATGCTGTTTGGTGCCTTTGGCATACCCCTAGAAATGAATCACAGAAGATACCATTGGGATTTTGGAGCAAGGCTTTACCATCATCTCCAGACAACTATTCTCCCCTTGTAAGACAGCTCTTGGAGTCAGAACAGATAAGAGACCTATCTGCCCTTTTAACCCACCCATGCCCCCTGTTAGGATCTGAAAGAAACAAGCTTCTAACTCTCTTCCAGCTCTACCACCCACCCCTGCTATTCTGCCTCTACAAATAAATAAATAAATAATAAAAATAAAAAATGGGCAGATATCCAATGCTCAAGTGAATAGCACATTAATCAGAAGAACAGGTGCAGATCTTGCAAGCTGGAAAAGCAGATGCATGCCACATCAGTCTAAAGACTCTCTTCCACTCTCTGTGACACTACATACTATCCTTAATCCCCATTCCCCACCTCATCACTTGCCCCACCCCCAACACAAGCAGAGGCCCTTTGCCAAGCTAATTAGCTACTTGGAGACTCCATGCTGGCCTAGAGGTCATGCTGACAGAAGTTCAAACCATGAAGAAAGCCAGGAAAACTAACAATTGGAGGAAATAAATCCCTTGCAGAAAATAAATAAATAAATAAATAAATAAATAAATAAATAAATAAAACAGGTAAAGGAAGTGAATAAAACTGTTGAAGACCTGAAAATTG